CTTTTTTTCTTAACCATTGTTTTTCCTAATGAGTTTTCCTGATAAGATTTTTAACGAGATAGTATTAGATAACATAATACAATTAATATGTACTTTTTTCTCTCTTTTTTTTTTGAAATTTTTATCCCGTTGGATTTTTTGCTAGTAAGGTTTTAATGAGGCATACTTTCATCTAATGGTCATCCAAGGGGAGTGTTATGAAACTATTCATTGTGTGGATGAGTGTGACCATATTAGTGAACGTATGGTTGTTACATGTAACCCCATCCCTGTAATTTGATTTTGAGCTTAATTGCTCATTAGTCATCATTATGTTCATTGATGATAGAGTTGTATAGGTTTGTGACGATAAATAAAGCACACATTGTACCAACAAGACACAAGAATAAAAAAGCTTTATTCCCCCTCTTTTCTTGTGTCTTTTTTTCTCCCTGCTATCTTATTGTTGTTCGTATTCTCCTTTAGTTTTTCACATATTATTAATTATTGTTCTCATAATTCTCCTACATTAACGTATTTTAGTTGTTTTTCATTAATTGCTATTTTATTAATTTTATTGATTAGTGTACCTGTTGTTTTTCTTCTCCTGATGGTTCATGCAAAGGTTTCCTTGGGTCGGACGGAGATCGGCCTTCGAGTGCAAAGACAAAAGGGAGGCTGACTGCAAGACACAACCATCGAACCATGACGAAAGTCGACCTTAGTAATCCAACGTGGGAGAATTGTTCAAAATTTGAAGTAGTTGGTAACACTTTGAGACTACCTAAGTCCTAACTATCGCATTTCAAATTTGTTTTCATGTACTTCATTGCAAATATCCTTTCAACACTTGTAGTGGAGGCATAGCTAACAACAATGATGAATTACTTTTTTCAATGACCCTAATATGAAAAAACCTCAAGAGAACATGGAACATCTCATGACATTAATAGTCTGAACCCCTTTGACTTTTTTTTTATAAGAGTGATATATGTTTCATTTTTGTGATTAGGATACTAATTAATGGATTCGAATCTAAGACCTCCAGCTTCTAGACTAGTGATATATATTACCATTATACCAACTCCTTTGAACCCATTTTACTTTAGATACCAATTAAAATCCAGTTAGTGAGGTTAGAAAGTGGTGTAGAGTGGAATAATGTTGAAATGAACATGCCCATGCCTTTTGTATGGTGGTAATTTGTCCAGAAACTGAAAAGAAACCAACATTTGTTAAAAAAAGGATGCGACTCAAGGTCCCGCCAGTCAATAATAATAATGTAACATTTTTGTTGATTCGAGAAACCTTGGTCCATATGAATATTTTTTTCATTTTCGTGAATGCATGATAGGGATATGTAATGTAACGTCTTTGGTCTTCAGTGAGCTTAGGCTTAATAAATTAAATATATTGCATGCAGGGATGCACGTTCTGCCAAAATTCAAAAAAACGCCATGCAATGACTGGCTTTGCTATATATCTAACTACGCTTATATAACCTAGCTTCATTCATTAGTTACCCTACATCTAATTAGGTTGGGATGTTGACAGAAAAGATGAATTTGTTGGAATGGAAGGTAAGTAATTATTTTTTGTTGGCAAAAAGTTACCTTGAATTAACAAGAAACAATTGATACATTATTTTAGTGAAGTCACAACCATAACAAACAATAATCAAAACATGTCACAACTATGAAATCTGATAAAGTACGGATTTTGTTTGACGGATAATGAGCTTTTTTCCCCCTTTTGTTCCGATGACCTACAAAACATAGTAGAAATACTTTATTTGGAAACAACGGTTTCCATAAATCAAGGGCTCATTGGAGCTTCATTACAAGGTTTGGCCATAATTTTATACGCATCTAACAAAAAGTTCTATCGTTATGTACTCAAGTTTCCTCATACGGAAGTTAATTGTGAGGATTCCAACACGTAGCATTTTGTCCATGGAAGTCACTGCTTTTTTTTTTCGTTGAATCAGTAGCAATTGCATTACCAAAACTATATGCAAATTACATATAGCGCCCAATACAACGAAAGGATTACTCGAGACAAGTAACCCTGCAGAGAAGGGAACAAACTCCCCTCTCAAACCCACCCAACAACACTAAGCTCACCCACCCAAATTATAGAAAATCATTAGCCAACAGATCAGACTGTAAGTCACTATCTACACTCCCTAAATACAAAAGATCAGAAATGATTAACCTACTGAGAGTTGCAGCATCCCTTGGAGCAGTTTGATGCTGACGATTACATCTTTCCCGCCACAGATATGCAATACATGCACACCAGAAAACACCAATCACCCTACCAATCGAAGAACTCTTCCTGCTCAAAGCAACAGCAGCCTGCACATTCTCTTGCCAACTCGATCCACAGAGCAGAGGACCACCTCTCCAGCAAGAAACAACCTGCAGCGAGTAAGGGCACTGAAAAAACAAGTGATCCCTTGTCTCCAATGCCCCCCTGCAAAACAAACATGATCCATCCACAATCTTACCCCACCTGACTAGCTTGTCTCTAGTAGTTGTACCATCCATCAAGACCAGCCAAGTGACCAAACTATTATTAGGCAGATGCCTTTTGCCCCAAATCAGCTTCGACCAATCCACTGGTTGATGTTCAACACGCAGAGAGCTCCATACTGTGGATACCTTATAAACAGGCATCAGCTTACCATCCCAATTAGGAGTGTCACCAGCCATTGTTAGGTGAGCCTGCAGTAAAGGTCGAATCTTGAGGACCCTTCTCCATGCCCAGGAACTACTTGGACTCACACTCATGGTCCAAACACTACCCTGCTTGACTCTGTACTTCCACATTATATACATATATCATTTCTTTACATTTCTCAATGTTCGCACGATACAAAAGAGTCCCTAATTTTTATATAAATAAAGCTAAGGGTCCTATTGTGCTCATTTAGTAGCACAAAAAGCTTATTATTAGACAATTCAACTAGTTGTCGTCTGTGTCATTTGGTTGAGTGACATATGTTGACTATTTATTTTCTCCTACTATTTATGACCACAAACAAGAGAGAAGGGACTCAATCAGTCAAATTTTGAAACCTTAAGGAGTCTTTCGGAGAACAAATTTTTTTTCAGGGAGCTGAAAAATATGATAACAGACACATGCCTTAGACTAGGAATGGCAATTTCAACATGACCCGTTTTACCCGACCTGTTTGACCTGTTTTGGGGTGCGCGGAGCGGGCATGGGTACCTCTCATCGACCCTACCTGCCCTGACTCGCCCCATTCTCGATCCGTTCTTGTATAAATTACATGTAATCTTATTCAAATTGTTTAGAAATTTTCTTTTATTACCTCATATTTTAGCTATAATAAAGATGTAAATAAGAGAAAACCTCAATTTTTCCAATAATTTAACTACATTTTATCATATTGTGGTTTCTTTTTGGTCTTTTAATGAAATAATGAATATTTCTGATGTTTTTTTACATAAATTGCATACCCATTGGATCGACCTGCCCCGACCCGCACCCCATGATAAATTACCCGAACTAAACCCGACCTGCCATGGAATAGGTGGGTCCAGATTGGGTCAGTAACCCCTTCCATGGTCCCCACGTGTCATTCACTTTTTTATTTAAATTAAATGTGAAAAGGGCAGTACGGTAAAATTGCACTTTCTCTTATTTATTGCCGATGCTGACTTTTGACCGTACCACATCAGCTCCTCCTTCTCTCTCCTTGCAAAACATTTAATTTTCCTTCCCTTAATCTTTAACGAACGATTTCTCACTCGTTTTAAGTCGAAATTTAATTTTTTTGCACAGTTAGATCAGATTAATTGTGCTCTTCAAAATGATATCTACTTTGATATTTTTTGTACACAAAAAAATTTGTCAGTTATTACCAGTCTATACCATATGGTATTGACTGTACCATATGGTATTGACTGGTATTAAATAAGAGCATACCATATGGTATGAATATATATTTCGTTACTACCATATGGTATAGTGTGGTAATATCAATATATATTTCGTTACCACTCAATACCATATGGTATAGTGTGGTAATATCAATATATATTTCGTTACCATATGGTATAGAGTGGTAATACCAATATATATTTCGTTACCACCCAATACCATATGGTATAGTGTGGTAATATCATTATATATTTCGTTACCACCCAATACCATATGGTATAGAGTGGTAATACCAATATATATTTCGTTACCACCCAATATCATATGGTATAGTGTGGTAATATCAATATATATTTCGTTACCACCCAATACCATATGGTATAGAGTGGTGATACCATATGATATAGAATGGTAATATCAATATATATTTCGTTACCACATAATACCTTATGGTATAGTGTGGTAATACCAATATATATTACCTAAAAGAAAGGGGGAAAAACAAAAAGAGAGAGAGAAAAAAAACTTGTCTTCTGTCTCATCTCATTTCATCTGCAACCAAAGAACACCAAACGCCAAAAAAGGAGAAAGATCGAAATTAAAGCCAACGAGTTGATGAAGAGAAGAAATGCAATTAAAGAATGTGACTTCAATTTTTATTCGTCGATTGCTAAAGAAAAAAATGAAGATGAAAGAGAACATATCTAGATTTGAAATGGAGATTGTGAGAGAAAAAGTAAGAGAGAAAGAATAGAGAAAGAAAAAGGATCTGAAAAGATATTGGAAAAAAGGAAGAGAGAAGAAATAAAGTAAAGTTGCAGAGAAAATGTTATTCTCTCTTTTATTGAAAAGTCAGCCATTGAAAATGCGGAATAAATAAAAAAAATTAAAAATACAAAAACGGACAAAAATACCCCTCCCCACCCCCCACGTCCAACCAACCACACGATTCCTCCATCCTCCAGATCTACGGCTCCCGTGTATTTACTGATAGGTCAGTAACCATTGGTTACTGACCCTATCCCAAACCGAAATAGGTATGGGTATCTGACATACCCATAACCTGCCCATTATCATTCCTACCATAGACGGGGTCGAACGCAAAGCCCTAGCTACAATTTCAAAATCGAGATCCCAATTTCGTTCGTGCTCCTCCCTCCCCCCTAGGGTTCTTACATTCTCCCAATCAATCCCTTTCCGGCCATGGATACCCAACCACTCCCTCTTGAATCAGCTCCTGAATCCGAAACTGGGCTTGAAACGGAGCTGAAGAAGCAAAAACGCGAGGAAGCCGGTGAGAGCAACGACGACGAGGTCGGCGATGAATGGGAGGACGACGAGGATGTCGAGATAGAAATCGTGGAAGAGGAGGATGATGGCACGGTCCGCGAAGTGTTTGTTCAGGCGCCGTCGAAGCCTTTGATCTGGTATCCCGAAGACAAGGCCGGGCAGGAGAAGTTAAAGCTCTTCTATGATACGATTCTGAAAAGCGAGGTATGTACGCACTGTGGCTTAAATTTTTGTGTTACAGTGATACGCAACTCTGTTCCTTGCGCTGAATGAATCATTCAAATTCTGCCCTGACCCAATGCAGGGATTTGATGTGGGCGAAGAACTTCCTCCGGTGGACATCATTGAATTCGGCGTTCTGCCAGTCAACTTGGAATCTAAGCGGCATGGCAACAATGTCAAGGAGTGTGTGGATTTCGTGATTAGGCAACACAATGAAGACCACAAGGGGGTTTGTATCTGATCCTCATCGCCTTTTGCTCTGCCTTTCTCTCTGAATCTATCTATCTGTGTTTGTTGTGGTGGTGGTGCTATCACGGACGGACTGAGAGTTAATTATCGAAACATTGGATTATCCGGGCACATACTTCTGGTTTCAGGCATAGTTTTATTAGAGTATGTGTAGTACGAGTAGTATTGTGTTATAGTACGAGTATTATTATGTAATTGGTAAGTGTTATATTACTTATCAGAGTCGTATTAGTGTTAGAGTTATATATCCGATTTCCCAACAAGTTTGGGGTGTACCTTTCCTCAGGTGTCGAATGTGATGCTTGTACCGAGTGGTGTCAATTTGGGTTCGGTTTTCGGGTTTACCCGAAACCGACCCGATTAGATACATTTTTTATTTTTCGGGTTTGGGTTTATTTTGGGTTTCGGTTTTTCGATTTCGGATTTGGTTTTGATTATCGGGTTTTCGGGTTCCGTTTGAAAACCTCCAAGAATAGAACTCAGCCCGTATTCAAAGGTATTCGGGTTTTGGGGTTTCGATTTTGCTTTAACCGAACCCGATAAGGAATTTTCGGGTTTCGGATAACCGAAAACCGAAAGTCCTTATCGGGTTCGGTTTCAAGTTATTTCGATTTCGGGTTTTCGGTTTTTTACGGGTTCTGGTTTGGGTAACCGAACCTGACCCGAACTGACACCCCTACTTTGTACCTGGTCGTTTAAATCAGATCTCGCGACATGATGGTGAGCTTGTCTGTCTGTCTATGTATGGTATGCAGGAATCCGTGCTGAAAGTTGTTAAGATCGTGAAGGCGAATTGGGGCTAGTGCTCTGGCAAGAACTACTACATCACCTTCGAGGCTGCTGACCTGCTGTCGTCTTCTGATCATGCTGCTACGAGAACCTATGAAGCTGAGGTTTATCGGACCATTCGTGGCAAACTATCGACGACTCTGTTCCGCGAGAAAGGCCAGAAACAGAGCATTCGAGAAATGGAAGGCCGCCCACGCACCTGCATGTGATGAATGGGAGGAAGGGAGAGAGGTTCAGAGAGTTTAAAGGAAATGCACATTCTGCTAAAAATGTCAAAGGCGAAAAAAATGCCATGCAATGCAAATGCATGGCTTGGCTTGGCTTGGCTTTGCTATCTACGTTTATATTACCTAGCGTCATTCATTCATTAAGTAGTTAATTACCCTTACATTTGATTCTAATTAGGTTGGGATGTTGACAGAAAAGATGAATTTGTTTTTTTTTTCCTGGCAAAAAAGCTACCTTGAATTAACAAGAAATTACCATTGATCGTACATTATTTTAGTGCCACCACAACCATGACAAACAATAATCAAAACCTGCCACATCTACTTACAACGAGATGTGATAAATTTAAGGATTTTCTTTGACGCATGACGAGCCACTTTTTTTTGTTTCGACGACCCACAAAATTTAGCAGATATTTCTTGCAAGCCTTTTCACTTTCAGCCATGATTTTATACGTGCCTAACGAAAGGTTTAGAAAAATATATTATCGAGTATTTATTCAAAAATCGTTTAAGTAAACTATAAGAAGTTGCATCTGCACGGCAACCGTTCCCAATCTTGAAAAAATGGGTCGAGTAAAAGGACAGAGTCTGCGATAGGCAAGGGATGGAAGTACCACCTTATCCCAAAAAGCAAAAGACCCAAGGGCCAAGGCCCACCTGATCGCCCACAACAGGAGGTTGGTGTGGTAGATCCGTCGTCTACGTCATAACCGGCGCCAGGAGAAGAGAAGCTACCGATGTGGCAGCTCGTGATGCTATTGAGGAGGAGGGGGATGAGTCGCCTAAAACATTGGATGAGTACGGAGGTAATCGCAACCACAAATATTATGACTATTACGATTTCTTTGCTTATTTTTGGTGATGTAAATAAGTTTAGGGGTCGTAATGTTATTTTTTTGATTAGTGTGATGGATTTTATTAAAGCAGACAAGGATCAAGAGAATTGATCCCCAAAAACATAGTTCCAGCGAGCAAAACAATAGTAAAAGAAAACCCAGCCCAGAAGAAAGGCAAAGCCTGCAAGGCGGACCAGACCACCCCTGCAGGAAGGAAGACGAGAGACAGAAGACGCCGAAAAGGCCTCAACCCGGTAGAACGGATGAACAGCCAGCAACAACACAAGGGAACCAGAAAAAAGGAAACGAACCAAGTACAGTGAGCCCAAAGTCAGCCCGAAACAATAGACTGTTTCGGCTCCGCAAACCCTCGGGTTAATTGTTGTACGAGGATGGCAGTACTTAAGAAAGGGCTTCGGCTCCGCAAACCCTAACTCTCCAAAATCATCATCAAATAATAAAATCCTGAGAACGTGAGTTCTCCGTGGAGTAGTCTCGTTCAAATCGAACGAGGAAACCAAGTAAATTCTTGTGTCGTGTGTTCGATTTATCGTTTTCTACATGGTATCAGAGCTGTGAAGAGATCCACAGTTTTCTTTTCATCATCTTTCTCGTTCAACAATGAGTGATACCGACGCAGAGAAGAGCTCGGCCTCAAACAAAAGCAGTGCTATGACTAGCGCGGGCGTGCAGCGCCCTTCACCTTTCACTATCCGTAATTCCGACAGCCCCAGCCAGCTCTTCGTGGGGGAACTTCTCACGGAAACCAACTATGGAGAGTGGGTGGGTGATATTTCGGATTCTCTCATCGCCAAGAATAAACTTGGCTTCGTCAACGGTACCATATCGGCGCCTGCAGGTGGTGGCGAAGCTTATGATGCGTGGAAGCAAGCTGACGCCATGGTTAAAGGCTGGTTGAAAACCGCCATGTCAAAGGATGTGCGTAGTAGCGTGCAATTTGCTACCACTGCTAGGGAGATATGGGTCGACGTTCAGACTCGTTTTGGTCATGGGAGTGCCCCCCGGTTGTACGAACTTCGTCAGACCATCAATTTACTTCAACAAGAGAAGACTTCAGTCGCTTCCTTTTAAACCAAGCTTCGAGGTTTGTGGGACGAAATCAGTTCTCTTGCTCCTTCTTTAGAATGCACTTGTGGTGGTTGTACTTGTGACGTGAACCGCAGGCAGCGTGAATCTAAAGAGAATGAGCGCCTTTTCGATTTTCTCATGGGGCTTGACGATGCTTTTGGAGCCGTCAAGACTCAAATCCTCGCAATGACACCCACGCCTAGCTTGGCCAATGCTTATCACCTTGTCATGAATGACGAACAACATCGTCATATTTCTAGCAATCGTCGCCCTCGAATTGAGGCTGCTGTTTTCCAGGCCCATGGAGAGAAGAAGCCACATGAGACAACTCGCCAGGGGGAGCGCGACACTGATCGCCCACGTGATGCAGAGGGCCGTCCCATTTGCATTCGTTGCAATAAAACTGGTCATTTCAAAGCAACATGTTACAAGTTGCATGGCTACCCTTCACGTACTCCTGGTGAAGAACCTCCACGTCGCCGCGGGGACTCCTCCGATCGTGGCCAGCGATCAAAACCCCAGGCAGCTGCTGTTGACGTGGAATCCAGTCCCTTCCCAGGGCTTTCTCCTGCACAATTTGCCCAGCTCAAACAGCTTCTGGGTTCGGACATTCGCCCTTAGGTACAAGCATCCCTGGACCCTACTTCGAACATGGCAGGTACGGCTCTTCCCTCTCATACTTCATGGGTAATTGATTCCGGTTGTAATGAGCATATTGTTAACAATAAATCTTTCTTGTCAAATGAGCTGGAGAGTCCATCAGCTCTACAGGTTCGTATTCCTAATGGCACGGGCGTGCCCGTTCATCGGATTGGTTCTGCACATTTATCTACTGATCTTTTTCTGCGAAGAGTTCTTCACGTTCCGGATTTTCAGTGTAATTTACTATCAGTCAGTCGTCTCACGGCTGATCTCTCGGTTGCTCTGATTTTCCTAAAGGACTTCTGTGTTATTCAGGACTTACCATCCAAGAGGCTGATTGGGATGGGTAAGCATATCGATGGGTTGTACTATCTACAAGTTTTTGACGGGCAGCATCCAGTGGCTCATTTCGTTCGTCAGACTGTAGACAGTTCAACATTATGGCATGCTCGACTTGGTCACCCTTCCTTGGCGAAGATGTCTATACTACAGCGTTTTATCTCTAGTCCTCTTATTCAGCAGAAAGATTCATGTCTTTCTTGTTTTCGTGCTAAACAGACACGTGATCCTTTTGTCTCCAGTTCAATTACTACTAAGGATTGTTTTGAGTTACTCCATGTTGATATTTGGGGTGGATATTCAACCCCTTCCTTTACTGGGGGTCGTTATTTTTTGACCACAGTGGATGATCATAGTCGTGCTGTTTGGGTTTACTTGCTGAAGTTTAAGTCCGAGGTTGCCCGTTACTTGCTCCTTTTCTGTAATATGGTGCGCACTCAGTTTCACAAACAGGTCCGTCGTATACAGGCTGATAATGGACCGGAGTTTTCTACCCACGAGTTGCGTGACTTTTATGATCAGTCTGGTATCATCCTCCAGACCTCTTGCACCGACACACCACAACAGAATGGCGTCGTCGAGCGTAAGCATCGCCATCTTTTGGATACGGCTCGCGCCTTACGCTTTCATGCCAATCTGTCGGTTACATTCTGGGGAGAATGTGTGTTGACCGCTGCTTATCTTCTAAATCGTTTGCCACTCTCCCCGATTGCGGATCGGTCTCCCTATCAAGTCATTTTCGGCAAGGAACCACCCTATGAGCACTTGCGGAGTTTTGGGTGTCTTGTTTATGCTCGAGATAATCGTCATGGACTGGATAAATTTAGTGCGCGTGGACGAGCAGACATTTTTGTTGGGTACCCTGCTACTCAACGTGGCTACCGAATTTTTGATTTGGAGCATAAGAAGCTTTATACGTCTCGTGACGTCAAGTTTTTGGAGAATGTCTTCCCCTATCGTCTCTCTACTGCTACCAGTGCAGTTGATCCTCTTTGCCAGGCTCCACCACCCGTTTTGAGCTCAGCTCCGCCTCCTTGTTTGGTTGCTGATGATTCTGAATCTCCTTTATTCCATGCAGCTTCCTCGCCGGCCCCAGTGGGACGTAGACCCTCTTCCGCGTCCACACCTGCTGTTCCCTCCCCCCAGCTCTCGTTTTCCGCTTCGCCAGCCACGTCACCCGACCAGTCCTCGTCATCGCCTGGTCCAACTTTTGATCAGGCCACTCCTTCGCAACAGTCTTCATCGGCTCCCACTTCTCTCGATCCTGATCCCAGCACTCCGCCTGTGCTGCCCGATCCTCCAAATTCTCCAGCTCCGCAATGTGGAGATCGCTCTCGCAAGCCCTCGACTAGGCTCGCGGGCTATGATGTCGCCATGCCTTGGATGGCACATAAGGCCGAGACCACTTATCCTTTGGAGGATCATCTCGATTATAGTCGCCACTCTCGGGCGTATCATGCTTTTGTAGCAGCTGTGTCCTCAATCGATGAACCCCGCTATTACTATCAAGCGGTGCGCCATGCTCATTGGCGCGCTGCCATGCAGGCTGAGATTGTTGCCCTGGTTGCTAATGGTACTTGGGAGCTTTGTTATTTACCTCCGGGCAAACGTGCTATTGACTGCCCTGGTTGCTAATGATCCTTCTTCTCCAGCGACTGACCCTGCCGGTTTTCGTCGCCTGGTTGGTCGTCTATTGTATCTTATAGTTACTCGGCCTGACATCGCATATGTCGTTAACTTACTGAGTCAGGCTGTCCATTCTCCTACTCAAGCACATGTTGATGCCGCTACTCGCATTCTTCGCTATCTGAAGTCTTCTCCTGGTCGTGGTCTGTTTCTCCCCTCATCGGGTAACCTTAGTCTCACTGCTTACTGTGATGCTGATTGGGCCGGCTGCCCGACATCTCGTCGTTCCACGACTGGTTACTTTATCACCTTGGGGTCTTCTCCTGTTTCTTGGCATACGAAGAAACAGTCTGTTGTTGCTCGTTCTTCCGCGGAGGCAGAATATCGGGCTATGGCCACTACTGTTAGTGAGGTTCTTTGGCTTTGTTGGCTTCTTCGTGATTTGGGCGTCCACCATACGGGTCATGCGCCCCTTTTCTGTGATAATCAAGCAGCCTTACACATTGCTGCCAATCCCGTTTTCCACGAACGAACAAAGCACGTGGAAATGGAATGTTATTTTGTTCGGGAGCGGGTTCAGTCTAGCGACATTCTACCTTGAAAGATAGCCACCGCGGAGCAGCATGCTGACATCTTCACAAAGGGGTTGAGCGTTGATCAGTTTCATCATCTACTGGTCAAGCTCGGTCTCCTTGACATCCATTCCTTCGCTTGAGGGGGAGTATTACGATTCCTTTGCTTATTTTTGGTCAAACCCTAACTCTCCAAAATCATCATCAAATAATAAAATCCTGAGAACGTGAGTTCTCCGTGGAGTAGTCTCGTTCAAATCGAACGAGGAAACCACGTAAATTCTTGTGTCGTGTGTTCGATTTATCGTTTTCTACAATGACCAATTGGTGGCCTGTTCGTGGACTAACATGGACCCGGAAACACCATTGTGGTTGGTGAATTTTTTTTCTTCTTCATTTTATATGTGTGCTTGTTCTTCCAGAATTAGTTGGTAGCTAGGTTTCTATTTTTGTTACCAGTTTCACGATTAGTTTTGGATGTACTCGATTTATATTACACGTTGGTTAACTTCGATGATATTTTTTTTTTTGACAAAAGATAATCATATATTGATAAAAACCAATCGATAGTTACATCCTGGAAGTCAGCCAGGTCTGGAAATCAAAATTACGACACGTAGTCGGGAACAAAGAAAGGGCCTTTCTAGCTACAGAATGAGCTACCCTATTGCCATCCCTACCTACAAATCGCACGCTAAACCCCGGATTAACACTGAACATCCGAACCAGCTCCTCCAAAATAGTCCCAACCCGACTATCGCAAACCTCAGCCCTACAAATTTTATCAATGAGCACCTTCGCATCCCCTTCGAATCGCATAACCGGAAAGCCATGCGCTAAACACCAGCAGACAGCTTCTCGAAGCGTAAGGAGCTCCACCACCATTGGGTCATCCAGACCCGGAAATTGAATCCCTGCAGCCCATAATGACATGCCAGCTTCATTGAGGAGTACCATACCCCCTGCAGAATGTGACCCTCGTCGAACCGCCCCATCCCACCTACAAACAGGCCCACCTGACACGCTAGCTACACCAGTAGGGCGATCAGGAGGGCTAACCGAGGGAGACTGGGGATCCCGCGGAAGGGCGAGCCATTCCCCAACTTGTTGGTTATACTGCCTCAATAAAACCGGAATGCTGAACTGCTTTATTTCAAACACCACCCAATTCCGGGATCTCCAAATACGCCACAGGATAGCAATAACTGCCAAGAACTGCGATGGCTGATGAACAATAGCCAGCAATTTTTTAAGGAATAGGGGGAAAATATGACGGGGCAGCCCCTCGCCAAGAGACTCAAGCCCCTCCTGGGACCACAAAGCCCTCGCCACCGGACAATCAAGGAACAAATGCTCCATTGTTTCCCTTGCGGCCCAGCAGACAGGGCAACGGGGCAAGACCTCCACATCCTTCTCTATAAGAGCTTCCGTCGTTGGTAAAATTCTACTCAAGATTTGCCAGACAAACACCTTAAGCTTCGGGGGAATATTTGCATCCCAAACCCGAATCCAACTCTGCTTGTCCATCCAACTAACCTGAGCCCGCCATCTCCCACACAGCCGATCAAGAGAAACTGCCAAATGATACGCCGATTTCACAGTGAAAACCCCATCCTCCGTACCATGCCAGATCAAGCGATCCTCAATATCTTGTCGGGGCAGGGGCATCGCCCTAATCACCTGGCAAGTCTGCGGGTCAAACCACTGGCTCAGTGTATCCTCACACCAACGCCCTTCCCCAGGACAGAGGACAGCCGAAACAGTCAAGTCCCCATTCTCCGGCAAAATCCGAGGGTTATACACCGGCGAAGAAGGAAGATGAGTCGGAAGCCAATTGGAATTGAGCAAAAGAGCCTTCTGACCATTACCAATCTGCCACCGCAATCCCTTGGACAATAACTGCCGACCAAAAAGAATACTTTGCCATCCCCATGAAGGACGGGAGCGCGGCTGAGCGGAAAGAAATGACCCCTGCGGAAAATACTTCCCTTTATAGATCTGGGCTAGGAGAGACTGGGGTTCATTCATGATACGCCAGCCAATCTTAGCCAACAGTGCTTGGTTAAACTGCTCGAACCGGCGAAAACCCATCCCCCCCTCATGTTTACTTCTGCACAAATTTCTCCAAGAAATCCACAGAATCTTAGAACTCCCCTCCTCCACTCCCCACCAAAACCTGGCCACATGCTTGTCCAGGAGACGACACAGCGACAAAGGCAGGCGAAAGCAGGACATCACATGGAGCGGAAGAGCTAAGGCGACAGATTTAATCAGAGTTTCCTTAGCTGCCCACGACAAAGTCCTCCGTTTCCAACCCTGCAATCGTTCTAAGAGCTTCTCCTCTAAGTAACGAAACGTGGCCGTCTTGGAACGAGCAATCAACGTGGGAAGACCAAGATACTTATCCTGAACCCCTACAGCACCTACACCCAGAATTGCCGCCAAGAACTCCTGATCTGGATTCGAGACATTCTTACTAAAGCAAACAGCCGATTTCTCCAAATTTACCCTCTGACCGCTAAGCTCCTCGTACTCATTAAGAACTTCTATCAGATTCTCACACTCCTGGAGGGACCCACGGAGAAATAAGTAAGAATCATCAGCAAAGAACAAATGAGAAATGCGGGGAGCCCGCGGAGCCACCTTCACTCCTTCCAGCCTCTTTTCAGAGATTGCCTTCCGAAGTAAGGCAGCAAAGCCCTCCGTGCAAAGCACAAAGAGCAGGGGCGATAGGGGATCTCCCTGCCGAATCCCCCTGGAGGGTGCAAAGAAACCAGACGGAGAACCATTCATGAGGACCGAAAATGTTGACGATTGCAAGCATTCCTGAATCCAACCCCTCCACACCGAGTTAAAACCCATTTTCTCCAAAACCGCGAGAAGAAAGGACCACTCCACTCTATCATAGGCCTTTTCCATATCAACCTTCAGAGCCATGTACCCCTTTTTTCCCCGGGTTTTGATCTTCAAATAGTGCATTAACTCATGTCCAATTAAGATATTATCCACTATTTGTCTCTCCCTGATAAAGGCATTCTGACCATCGGAGACAATGAGAGGTAAGATCGGTGCCAGACGTTCCGCCATGATTTTCGTGATCACTTTATAAATGAACTGGCATAAATTGATAGGGCGAAGTTGACGCACGGACTCCACCTGATCCACCTTAGGAATTAGCGTCAACCAGGTGTGGTTAAAACTCCGTAGCATCCTGCTTGTAGCAAAGAAGGAACTAATCGCCGCGACAACTGACTCCCCCACAATCCCCCAGTACGCTTTAAAGAACTTCCCCGTAAAACCATCCGAGCCTGGCGCCTGCTTTGATCCCATTGCAAAGATCGTTTTGCGAATCTCCGCCGGACTAACCTCAGCGGTTAGGGCGGCATTCATTTCAGGAGTCACTTTGGAAGCAATGGGCAGATCAGCCACCCGATCGGTCATATTGTGGACTTGGGATTCCGAGGTGAAGAGAGTTCGATAGAAATCAACCGCAACCTCCGCCTTCCCTTTCTCCTCCGTAACCCACTCACCATTGTCATTAACCAGACCCGAGACAAAATTTTTCTTTCTCCGGGTACGCGTGACCGTATGGAAGTAGGATGTATTTTGATCCCCTCTCTTCAGCCAGCGGACACGCGATTTCTGTTGCCAGTACCGCTCTTCAGCCTCCCACTGCCTGTTCAATTCCAATTCAAGTGCAGCCACTTCCTCCCAGTTAATCGGATGAATAGCCTTGATCCTTGCAATTTCATTTTGCAAGGTATGGATATTGCGAAGGGAGTTGGTAGTACCCGCTCTGCTCCAATCATAAAGTAAATGACGGAGTTTTTTCAATCTTTCCCATAACTGGAACATCGGGGTGCCCTGAACAGGCTCCTGCCAAACGTAAGCCACCATAGCCCTGACCTCTGGGTTATCCGCCCAACGGGCATCAAATCTGAATAGAGGGCGACATGACCGGACATAAGGTTGGTCAGACAAGAGTAATGCCCGGTAATCAGAACCTAGATCCGTGAAATGTTTCACCAAAGTGTCAGGGAACCGATCCACCCAGCTTTGGGAACACAGGGCCCTATCCAGTCTTTCCCGAATACAAGCCACCCCCATTCTTTTATTAGTCCACGTAAAAGGGTCGCCCTGGTATCCTGGATCATGCAACCCAAGCTCTTGGATCAGATTACGAAGGTCTAGAGCTTGAGAAACATTCCAAGAGTTCCCACCATCCTTCTCTCCTTCATGAAGAGTCACATTAAGGTCCCCAATGATCACAAAAGGGATCTGAAGACTTTCACAAATCTCTCGAATCTGGACCAGTTGGGCTGCCCGCACAGTGACATTACAGCTTAGGTAAACACAGAGCACCACATACGAAAACTCATTTTCATTAATTCTCAACCCAATACAAAAACTCGAATGATAAAACACCGAAACAATAACTTCAGGGGCCCAGGCCACAACAAGACCACCGGAACCATTTAAAGCATCAACAAAGAAACATTGAGCCGACTCAAAACCTAAACCCCTCAAACGACGGGAAACTACGCGCCTGGACGACCTAGTTTCTGAAAAGAAAACCAGGTCCGGCTTATTCGAACGAACTAAACTAAAAGCTGATTGGAATGTGAGGGATGGCCCAATTCCTCTCACATTCCAGGCCAGGAGCCTCATTTATCTGCTTGGGGCCACTCTTGGCTGGCTTCCTCCACCAATTCAGCATTAACTGTCTCAGCTTGCTCTTCCACAAATTGCCTCTTAGGATTGGGACTATCCGCAGACACCCCCTCCAGCTCTTCCAGAGACCTCTTTCGGTTTCCACCCTCCAAATTGGAACCATATTCATTAATCTTTAGGGCTTTCTCTTCCATCACCCCCTCCAACTTCCCTTTCATTTCATTGATCACGAGACCTTCTTCAAAAGCATCCACAACCTGTTTAACTTGCCCAGGCTGTACCAGTTGCTCCTTTTCTGAAGGCAGCCGCCTCTCTTTGATCACAAAGCGGGACGCATCTTCTTCCGATAAAGCCTCATCGGAGAGGGCATGCCCCTCCCCCTTCTGATCATCTCCCACCGTCATCCCTTCATCCCCCATCGAGCCTCCCATCGCAAAATTCAAATCAACAGTGGCCGAGGGGACAACTTTGGATTTACCCTTTCCTTTCTTTTTTCCACCAGGAGGCGGGTTCACCAGGCTAGCTGCTGCCACTTCCTCTTCCTGCAGATACGACACAGGACCTTTCTGCTTGCGTCCCGGACGGGTGGTCGCCTTCTCCTGGGAATTGGCCCCAAGCTTCCTTGTCACCCCCACCTTCCCCAGCTTGCGGCCCCTCACTTTTTTTGCACCTTCAGCCAGCGAACCTGGTTCATTATTTATGGGCAGAGGAGGCTCGAAGTCGTCCTCCATCGCCTCCAGAATCAGTCTTCGACGGTAGGGTTCAGTAGAAACAAGCCTACCCACCCTACGTTCCTCAGGCTGCGGAGGATCTTCCTCACCGACATGCACCAACTCGGGACGGACGACAGCCGCATCCGGATGCAATGGCTGCTGCCTCTGCCGCTCCGCCCGACCTCCAGCTCCTTCCTGCCGCTTCTCAGTTTGTCGGGGCGAAGTAAGACCCCGAACAGCATTGTCAGTGTGAGCACGCATCGGGCGTGAAGTACGGCCCACCTTCAGTGCCGGCGAACGAGACACGTGGAAACCCCGAGGGCTGGGCTTGCGCTGCACGATCACCTGCTCAAGAGGGTCTTCCTCCCGCGGAGGGGTTCGGAAGTGACGAGACTGGGGCTGGCCAGGGGATTCATGCATCTCCCCACCATGCGCAAAGCCGACCTCCTCCTTTCTTCCTTTTTTATCCCGAAACGAGTTATTAACCCAAACCTTGGTGGCGCCTCTTGGGTAAGTGGACCCAGTCTCCTCCGTATCATAAATACGGATCCCTAGCTTCCTAGTGGTCATATGAGGGCTATACCTTTCAGTTCGAGCTGGAGGGTCGAAGGAGCAAGCCCGGAGAGAATGACCCACCCTACCACATTGGTAGCAGAAACTAGGTAGGTATTCGTACTTCAAGCTCACCCAGAAATTCCCTGTGTCATCATTTTTGGCAAGGATCTGAGATCGCAGGGGCCTAGTGAAATCCACAAGCGCTTTGACCTTAACAAACCAAGCCCCAGAATCTTGGCAGGCAAAAACTCCTGATTCGAGCACTCTCCCAATCGAGGCCCCCACCATCTTCCATCCAAACTGTTGCGTACAGCAATCTTCTCTAACACCCCACAATTGAATTCTGAACGGGGCAATTGCCAGGTCATCAAAAGTTTGCTTCGTTATAGTTGGTGTCCACGGTCTGAGGTGAATCAGCTGGTCATTGATGACCCAGGGAGTGCGTTTGAGCACCCAGGTTTTGGTCTCCTCGTTTGGTAGCATGAACTCCACCAAACCTTGCTTGGCCAGCACCACTCTAATTCGCCCTTGGATGAGCCAGGGAGAGATCACCGAATCTCTCAACTCAGTCGTAGAGATCCTTTTGGATATGAAAACTCTACCCAGCAGTGAATGAGAAGCACGATATTTTGTTGATTGTACCTCCTCCATCGAAAATTGCACCACCTGATCAGCAGAGATGTGCGCCATGATCTGGGCCTGCAAAAGAGGATCAGGTAAATCAACCCTAGTCACCAAATTTCCCATTATTAGTGGCTGCATGTCCATGCAATCTACGACCATGGGACTAGTGTCCTCCACCAAACACCCTATTTTGTTTTGACTCAATCCCCCCGTCTCACCACCTAAAAGCGGGTCATGTTCCAAAAACAATGGCCGAGAGAGGAAAGTGGATGAAGAGACCATACCTGCGTGGATAGGAAACCCTAGAGTGACGCCGAATTGCACTGCTTTAGCTTTGTTTCTATCTTGCAACAAACAATTGCCCAGGATAGAATAATTACTAGCAGTCGCTTTAAATAGAAAACGGCTCATTCTATTAGGTTTTTCCACAGCCACGCGGCGTAGGGTTAATCGTGGCCAATTATGAAAGGGACTCTGTTCTCGATGCAAATTGGCCGGGTTTTTTAATTTAAAAAATCCCGTAAACTCGGAGGCAAGATTCGGGACCGATATTCCCCCAACAACCTTGCAAGGTGTAGAGGATTTTTCGGAACCGTAGCCCCCACTCACAGCGTCCCCGGCGACGGAGCTCAGAGAGCAATCCGGCCACCGTAGGGAATCGCTCCGACTAGGGTTTTTTGAAACTCCATTAATCAAAGGGGGGGGGGGGGGAGAGGTAGTCCCGATTGCCATTGCAGGGTTGGCAACCATGAGGGATGTATTCACTACCAGCTCCTCCACAGTCAACCCCTCCACCAAGGGGTCATTATGGCCCAGACGCCAGAGCTTTCTGCCCTGGACAAGAGTCTCTGACCCGCTAACACTCAATGTCGAGGAAGAGATAGTCCCGGTTGCCATTACTATCTTGGCCCCCATATTAGTTTTGATGACTATCCGTTCCTCCAACTCAAACTCTTCCATTGAGGGGATCTTAAAAGACCAAGCTACTTTTTTTGAGAATCGCCGCCGCTTGAAACTAGCGGTATTAAAATCATTGTCTTCAATTGTGAACCGACCATACTTCCTCTTCGCACTTCTTAGACTCAAAGCTCGATCACGAGGTGTAGGTCTCCCGTCACCAGTGAAAATTTTGCGTCGCCGGCGATCGTTATAGGACCTTACCTTTCTGTTGACATCGGTTTCCTCCTGGGCATCTGCGGGCGCGCAGCACCTATGCACGCTTGAATCCCATTGGAGCTCCCAAGTCTGATTTCGTAGACAACTGAAAAATATTGCGATCAACACAGAGATCAGGAGATTCCCTGCCCGCCGGGCAAGGCACAGGAGAGAGGAGAGAGCTCTCCTCATCCCCCAGAATTTTTTTTTTTTTTTTTTTTTTTTTTTTTTGCTAATCCCGGTTAACTTCGATGATAAGACCAAAGAAGAACGGGAAATCACGACAAGGGAAACCACCATACTTGCCAAGGAAGCATTGGACTCTTACAACGAGAAGAATAAGGTACAAGAAGAACCACCTGGTTCTCGTTTGTCTTGTGTTTCTTAGTTGATATGAAGGTTCGGAAAAAGTGTTAGGCCGGTGGTTTGTGCAAAACGATGACTTTTAGTAGAAATTTTAGTAAAAATAACGATTTTATAACATGTTTTTTTTTACTTAGTTTGATTTCAAATGATTAATAACTTAACTAACTATAAAAGATTATCAAAATATGTCATGACTTAGAATTGTAATTCCATATCGAGGAACTGAGTGTAGGATGCATTTGGAGATACGGTAGCTGGAGTTGGTTTGTTTTGGAAAGATTAGTTACAATTTTTAATTAAATCCTTGGTATGCTAAGTGATATTAATCAGTGTCTCGCTTCGATTAATCACGTCTTGCACCGATTTATTGTGCCTAGTTGTTCCCCTAAGAGCATATATAGCTAGTAAAATACGGTACAATAAAATTACGTATAAAATACGTATAGGTATTTTACTTAGTCTCTAAGCTAGTGTTACATTAAATAGTACACTAATAGTCATAAATATATAAAATTAATTATTTAAAAAATATATATAAATAATATTAAAGTTAATATTTTAACTCATTAAATACGGATATTAAACGTGTTATACGATTTTATTACGTGTTTAGTAGGGGAGTCATCAAATGAACGGGGGGAAATGAAAAGGTTTGACAAAAATACGGATAAGGAAGTTTTAAACGTATAAAGTACGTACTATGGTACACATACGTGTATTAAACGGAGTATTTACTAACTATGCATAAGAGTAACTTTGGCATTTATATGAAACGCTTAATTGTCTGCCCTAGGGTATGAGCGAAGCCGAGGATTTTTTCAATAATAGCACCTTTTAAAAAAATGACAAAAATAGCACCCAGCCCACACAAATTCCAAAAATAGCATCTTTCACCCTAAACCGCACCTTCAAGGTGCGTTTTATGTGCAAACCGCACAACGAGGTGTTGGTGCTGTGAATCAAATCATGGGCTGAAGCTTGCTGGTGCTAAGAAAGACAGCATTTGAATTCTGTGTTTTGGCTTATGTCAAAACTGTGTCGTGTGGCAAAGTTATTCTTTAGTCACCAAAGTTATGTTTTCCTTTAGTTGAAGTCGGCTGTTTAGCTGAAAGTCAGAAGTTAGTTGTTGGCTTAGCTATTTTACAGGGTAGTGGAGTTAAGGATGATACTTAAGTGCCGAGATTAGTGGCAGGAATCATGTACTTAAGTTGTGAATAATCGTGTCAATAAGATTGTCAGTTTGCACAAAGTATTTGCTTTCTCACGAGGGTGGCCCCCTTTCCGGTCTCTTCCGTGTCACCATTCCAATGTAACCCAAGCGTGAACTTTTGGAATGTCATCTGCAATAAAACCGTAATTCAGTTAAAATCATAAAAATCACAAAAAAAATAATACAAAATAAACTTACGAGTTAACATTAATCGCAAAAACAATATAAAGTAGGGTGCTACAACAGAAAATTGAAGAAGAAGAAGAAGAAGAAGAAGAAAGAGAGGTCTGAAGAGAAGAGGTTTCCCGGGGATGCCTTTTATAGGCTAAATCATCACTAAAAACCGCAGGGGGAGGGTGCGGTTTTCATCTGCCATGCAGCCCCCACGTCTGTCAACCTACATGACCAACATGCTGGATGTCGGAAAAATGGGGACGACACACAAACCGCAAAGGGGGTGCAGTTTGTGTGTCAGCAAATGAAAACCGCACCCTGAGGATGCGGTTTGTGTCAGAGAAACAGAACCGCATCCTCAGCAGGCGGTTTTTGCTAGGTCAGCTTAAGAACCGCCTTGCCATGATGCGGTTCTGTTAGGTCAGAAAGCAAACCGCTTGGCCAAGATGCGGTTTAGTCTCTGAGACTCAAACCACACCCTCAGGTTGCGGTTTATATGTAAACCGCACGGCCAAGGTGCGGTTTTGAAAAAAAGGTGCTACTTTTGAAATTTGTGTAACCAGGGTGCTATTTTTGTAAAAAGAAATTAATAGTGCTATTTCTGGAACAATCCCGTGAAGTCGTTTTGCCACTGCCCAGAAGAGTGCGCGGAATTATACCTTCTTGAACTATGGTTAATATAGTTCCCTGACTAGCGTCAGTTTACCTCAATAATTAACTCCCACACAAGTTGCTGCCATTGGATTGAATACTTGCTTAGCTTTGCTTTGCATCGAATTTTGGTCTTGCCATGATGCAGGGTGCCAAGTATGTGTTCGATGAGCCCAGGGGTAGCAGTAGAATGCTTGTTCAGCTTGCAATTCTCACCCACTTCAACTTCACGGCCAGGGAGGAGAACAATCCTTCTTGCTCCCCCCACCGGGTTTTCGCAGAGACTGTCAGATACTATCATTAATGAAAATTATTTTGGTGTAAACAAAATATCATTTAAGTTTGAATAGGGCGTTGAGTACTATTAAAGTCGACAAAAAGTGCATCCGTCTAGTTTTCCATCAAACTCAAACTTTTAATTACCTTTTGGTACCCAAAATTTTTAAAAACATCAAAAATTACATTTCAACAAGTATTATCTAATATAAAAATTAGAAAACCTTCTAAACATAGTACTACTAGAATGGCTAATTTTTCAATATAATAGATGAATTAGTAAAAAATAATAAACGAATATCAAGAAAGAATAATAATATACTAAAAGATAATAATAAATCATTAAAATTAATATTAGATATCTATTTAAATCTCTAATTCAAATAAAAGTACCATTAAAATCAGTTAAAATAAAACCTAATTGACCATCAATACATCAAGCCAAAGAAGGATAAATGGGACACAATTTAAAAATTAAAAATATTCCATTAACTGAAAAAAAGAACGAAAAGAGACAGAAAGTAACCCAGTAATAAGTAAACTATAAAAGCTAAAACATTCAATTTCAAATCTAGAAAATAAAATATGACTATTGGAAAAGAATTAGTAAATTTAACCATATGAAACATCTACAATATAATATTAGAGGCTTAGAAGGAGATTTAACATGGAAAATAAAACAACATCAACATGATGTAAGTAAACTAAATATTACATATTTAGATTATTTATATCGAGATAAAATTCATAGGATATATTTACTTCAGGGAGTAATTCAATTATTGGAACACATAATGATAATTGAAAATACTTATAATGATAGTTGATTATAAATTTCATATTCAAATATTGGTTCGGTACCAGAGTCTTCAAAAGAAGATTCAAACTAAACAATAAAAAATGATGTTTTCATAAGTACAAAGGATTTTGTACAACAATAAGAAATAGAAGGATCATTTCTGAAATTTAGAAAATGGAATATTTCAAAAATATTATGTCAATTTTTATAGGATGCATTTAGCAGTAAACTTAAGTGGTATCGAGTGCACATATAATAGAGTTCAGTGATACCCGAAGCACCATTCAAATTTAAGTGATACCACTCCCCCAATTCTCATACTTAAATGATATCCCAAGTATTTTACCCATAAAACTACCTTGGCTTGTTCTATTCCTATGGGAAGGTTGTTCTATTCCAAGGAATAGATTCGTGGTGTGGCTTATTATTCATGGCAACAACATACATAGTTACATACCAAAGAGAAGATGACAAGATGGCGATATACATGATCGCTTGTTTGTGATATGTGTTCCACTTGTTTGGAATCGAGAGACAACATCTATTTAGTGATTGCTCATACTTCAGAGAGGTATTTGGTTTATTGTTTGGAAGTTACACATCACATATACCAGTGTTGTGAAATTCGAGCCGAGCCGACCGGCCGGACCATCAAAATCGTCACCCGGCCGAAAAATTGGCTCGACTCAGCTATTTAGCCGGATTGGTTCTTTGGGGCGGTCGGCGAGCGGCCGGAGCGGTTAACCGCTCGAGCCATTCGCTCGGCTTTTCCCATTGGACCTGTTGGCTTAATTAAAAAAAAAACTAAAAAAATGAAAGAGGGGAGGGTCGGGCTCGGGCTGTCTGAAACTAACCCTAATTCCAAAATTCAATTGTGCAGACTGAAAGAAGCCGCCGCTTCCTTCGCCTGTTCGCCGGCCCAAATCTCCGCCCTTGTCGTCGTTCCCCATCGCCGGAAGCCAGTCCCCCGTCGCCATCGTCGTCGTTCCCCATAGGCCGCTCGTCGATTTGGGGAAGCCAGCCCTTCGTCCCCCGTCGCCTGTCGCCAGCGATGAAACTACTGCTCCTCCCCTGCACCCACCACTGCTGCCCTCCTCTACACGGTCACTGCCACACTCCCCTGCACCGTCCCCTTCTCCCACTAGGTAAGTGCTGTTGCCGTGAGTTATTTAGTGATTTAGATTGAGTTATTTAGAAGTAGAAAATGTTAGAGGTTTTGAGTCAAAGTGATGGATGGTCTAATGGCGGTGGTGGAGGGGCAAAGGCATGTGATGGGGCGTTCATTCATTATCATTAAGAACTTTCAGAATGGTAGTGTTAGATTTATAATTGTATATTTTTAAGACTTACGAGTGTAATTTACTAATTTAATCATGGTTTACCATTATTAAGAAATGTCCAATATTTATATTTTATACGGATTGTTTATTAGGTACCGTTTCTCTAATGGTTTTTAAACGGTCTAACACCGGTTGGACCGCTAAAGACCGAGTCATTCACATTATCGGGTCGTACTCCGGTTTGCTTTTGACAACATTGACATATACTTCGACAGAGCTGTCAAGGAACATTGTTGGTGCACGAGTTGGGAGGATAATATATGGCAGTCGATTATCAGCCACATCTGGAGAGAAAGGAGCTGAAGGGTATACGCTGGAGTTAGGAAGGATATTACTTCCTTGGTACGAATTATAAAATAAGAAGTCGAATGTTTGTCTGAAGGTCAGGAAGTTGAGCTTTTTCCAGTTATCTACAACAGTCAAGTCTTTAGTAACCTGGGGGTGACGGGTGAGAGTAATACATAATGTTTCTTCTTTTCTTAAGAGAAAGAAGAATGTATAACTGATTAGTGACATTCAATTTTGGAAAGTTGCCTAACTAGCAAGGCTATTGTTAGTACCATGTTTTGATGAATATAACCCCACTGATTCAGATTTTTTTTAGATTTTTTTTAAAAAAAACTAATCTTGAAATCCTCGTTTTCTCAAATGCGTTATTTGGTCAAACTTGATAAACCGAAGAATTGTGACAAAATCTCTTACACTGTGTTTTTTAAGGGCGGAAAAGAGGGGGAAGGAAAACTGACAGAGGAAATTTGGAAAATCAAAAAACTTTCCCCTGTTTCCGAAATTTAATACAGTGGCAAGGGGATGGAAAATGGGAGAAAGGTTACTGTTCTACCCTCACCCCCCAAAATGGAGAGAAAATCCAAATTCCCCACTTTACTTTTTTTTTTTTTTTTATTATTATTGGGCTCTACTCTCTCATCTCTCCACTCTACTTTCTTTCTTCTTGGTTATCCCAGCAGGAAAGTATAATTGTAATTAATTTTTTCTTTTGGTTCTTTCTCTTTCCGTTTTTTTCTCTACACCACGTTGGATTTAGATGACAAGGCAAAAGAAATTAATTATCATTTACAGTAAGCTCATTGATTATTAGGATTACCTAATAAAAATTATTATTTGATTGCTATTTTTATGCGTTGTAATTAAACTCGCACTTCTTACTTGATATAAAATATTAATTTTTTGACATAGTTTGTAAAACTATATTTTATATATTTCGTAAAGTACGGGCGATTCGGTCCGGTCCAAATATTCTGTTTTGTCCGGTACAATCTCTAGTGAAAATACAAGTTGAATAATACCCTAACACTAATTTTTCCGGCCAATCTCTGGTGCAGTTTAGAAAGAAAGTACAAATTAAATCACTATTCATAATTAGAATATTAACATACTATCAAATTATTTTACTATTACATAATCAATAAAATAACATATTCATCACACTTCCCAATACACACTTTCCTTCCCAATTTCCTTCATAAAACAACATTTTCTTTTCAATTTCCTTCACCTCCAAATCTCCCCTCCCCTCCTAATTTTCCTCCCCTTCTTTTCCTCCCTTCCTTCGGAAACATAGTGTTATTAAAAATCCTCATCCAGACTACCTACCCTAATGCAGAAAGTACATAAAATCTGGCACGTTTTTCTTATACATAATATGTAGCAGTCTCAGTCAGGTACATAGTCTCTCCGAATTCTAGGCAATTCTGGTTTCTTATAGGCATAGATAGACATATACTGATACTGATGTCTCCATAAGGATAAAAAAAAGGAAAATCACATCATGGAGTAACGAAACTCCAATGAAGCTATGATCATGCATGAGACGGATCTGACGTAACCTTCTGGCTAGTTGAACATGCATGTGGTGAGACTACAGTAACTGTGATCTTTACATTAATCAATCATCCACAAAGTCAGATGCAGGTGACAGGGAGGGATATGATGTAACCTTCACACCACTCTGGTTAGGGGGATTATGCTGCTGCGACGATGATGATGCGAAACCCTTTCCACAGCAGATATCATTTGTGGCATCGACATGCCCACCGAAACTATGATCTCTGGTTCATTAGACAAGAGAAACATAGATATACCATTAAGAGGTGCAAGGATAACAACAATAAGCAATATCGTTAAGAGATGCAGAACATATAAAATGAGGTCGACAAGGCACATCAAGCAAAACCTTGGCCAGAATACGTAAAGCCTTCATGGGAAAGCAAGCCATAATTTGGTTTACTTTTTAAGTCTCTTTCTCTAAGGTTGTCAAGTTTAACTGCCGTTCAGTCACTGATACCTATTCAGAGAATAAAAAATACTACTTCGGGCACTAAATGAGTAAATGTTGAACCCATGCTAGCCTCACCAAAATCAAATCTGAAGTCGTACTGACATAACAATATCTTGTAAATGGTTATGGCTTAATCATATCTTGACATAATTTCTGGTAGCAATTAAGAAAACTTAAAGTAAAGCGTGCAGTGCAAATAGAAAAAGTCAAAAGCTTAAAGCACCACATCAAGAATTAGGAGTAGGAAGCAGACCTATGCCTTCCCGAATGGATAAATTTGGTCTAATGATGTCTGCAGCACTGACCAGAAAGATGTCCCCGATATATAGATGGTTTGTTGGGACATAAACACTGCACAATTCTTCATCTCTATCTTCTCTCTATGATAAAAAGAATCCACATCAGCAACAATTCAGAAGGAGCCAAATACATAATTAGTTACCCTCATTTAGGTTCTGGTCCTCATCGAGCAAACTCAAGCAAGGAGCAAATGCTGAATTCAGGGTGATTTGGGACCCGAGATACATCTCATCATGTTATTAAACCGCTAACCTGAAGGGTAAGGGATGATGTGATGAAACCAAATGCATATTCACCATGACGAGGATGACGAATAATTGCAACCTCTTTGAATGCAGTAGTATTCTGATCTGCATGCACATACAAGGCAAATCTCACCAGCTGCGGCTGAATCTTTAGTAAGTTGAAGGAAATGATGAAGAGTGACTGCTAGGAGTACCCCCTCCAGAGCCTAGGCCGAGTGATAGAATGGATGAGAAAACACCCTGCCACCACGGTCTAAACCTTGGGAGCAATAATCACGTATTCTAAAAAATGTATGGATGTATTGTTCTTTCTAAGGTATATGGTCACAAAAATGACTAACTGGTATGTTCAATTGAGAATCGTTGCAAAATGAACAGTCAGGTGAAAGCATCAGAAAGATTAGGGAAGTCTTTGTGAAGCATAGACTGCTGATACATTTTAAAAAATGCATTATATATGTGCCTCATGAATGGAACCTGACAATCAGCTAATTTACCAGGAGAAATAGCAGCACTTATTTGTTTAGAGGCTGAATAGATGTGCTTCATGAATGGCATCCGCTTTATAAACCATTCCCCAAGCCAGAAGACAGTCGAACCCAACCATGATGAAGCAAACATGCCCACAAAGAAAATGAAAAGAAGTGATGTGAGGAATCCAAGGCCTGCAGTGAAGAGCAAACATTAGCATAGCAAGTGATAATCTAATATAGTAAGAAGGGGCAGGCACACATCAGGAGGATGATACCAAATACCAAAAATGAAGAATTAGAAACATTTACTTTCAGGTAAAGTTTACTGAACTACAAGGAATGCTACTGAAAGACATTTTGATGTGTCCCAAGAAAGCATAAAATAAGGGGGTAATTAATGGTTATTAGGGTTGTAATCCAGAATGCAAAACTAAAGCTGTCACGTGGCAGATGATTAGCAATTAACTACATTATGATTAACATGGAACCTAGTGAACCAACAGCCACAAAACACAACTAATTTGGAAATAAGAAGAGGAAGGAGAAGGTACTACAAAGAAGAAACAAATGCAATATCTTGATTTACAAGAGGAAATAAAAGAATACTGTACTCTCAATTCACCAAATCAGTATAGAGAATGCATTGAAACTGAGGAACATTAACCAACAAAAGACCAGAACAATGAGTACATTCTGAGTCTCCCACAACATATGCTAATATCTACTTCCTCGTATGTTTCTAGTTATTTAACTTCAACTGTATCTTGAAACGCAGATTGGCCATCATCCGTTCAGAAAATTCTTACCGAAGATGTTGATGCCAAGTTTAGCATATATCGGACTAAAGAAACCATCGACCAACTGGATAAACGACCACGTCACTATAAAGGTCACCGCAACTGGAAACAGAACGACGCTGCAGTACCACGAACCGAAAGTATTCAAACAAATTCAGTTGAAGCAAGAAAAAAGAACCTCAGAATGGAGGATGTACACTAAAATGATAAGCTCATTACCATCCAGTCACGAACTTCTTAGTTGCCCAGCTTTGAAGAACAGCATAACAAGCCTAGTGAAGTCAAGATCACAAGCTAAAATCTATCAGATGAACAATTTTAACCATTGCAGCAAATACAGAAACTATACAATCCACTTCCCCACATATATCTACAAGATCTCTCCCTGCTAGAGTTCATGCAAAAGATCCAATTACTGAGGGATATCCGATTCTGATTAACACTACGCCGATCTCCCCTTATAATTCGACTTCGTAATACGACGCGAACTACAGCGATCAAGCAAAACGATTCGATGCGAAACAACAAATCTCCGAGTAACCACCACATAAGCCAGTTTCTATCTCAGAATTCATTCCTAGGTTTGGCGATTTCTGTCAGTATGGAGGCGTCTTACCTTGCGAGTGGAGGAGCTCGGGGAACCAGGAGCAGACTTGAGAACATCGTCGTCGTCGTCGTCGTCCGGGTCCGGTTCACGGTGAGTCAGGCCTTGGTTCAGGGAACTCGAAGACGCTTCTTTCTCCTCCGCCATTAACGCTACTTCTCAATTCTCACTGATTTGTTTTTTTCGTTTTCCCCTTCCCTTAAAATCGGCCTTTCTTCTTAAGGTCTATCGTGTTGGAGCGTCGCTTTACGTCTCTTTTTCTTCTTTCCCGCGGTCTGTAAAACGTTTGCTTTCTTCTCCTGGCGGTCTCTGTCTGTGTTGCCTGATCGGTCGGTGAGCTCCGACCGGAGGTTGAAGCAAGAATTGGCTTGGCATGTTTGGTTAAGGAAATAAGATAAGCCAGGCCCAGGCTAGTAAACCAACCGCCATGTTTATTAAGAAAGAAAGCCCATCAGGCGAATGGTTTGAGGTCTCGTTTTTATTGGATTGGGTTTCGGATCCGTTTCAAACAGGCCTGCTTTTAATTCTCATCTACACATAATATAATACACCGAAGGGAAAAACGGGAGCCTCATTTCAAATTTCCTGCAACGAGAGTGAAAGTAGGAAGGACATTTTGGTATTCACAATTACTTTTTTTTATTCATTAAAAAGACACGTACTGGGATTCGAACCATGTCCATTTTAAAGAAAAGCAAGGAACATAACCAATCACACTAAGTACATTTGTTGTATCCTTTTAAATCAAAAACATATAATAGCAGAGAGGAAAAACCTCTTCCCCCCATTTCAAATTCCCTGCTCCATGAGCGTTTGTAGGAAGGGTAGAATAGGTAGTGTTAATTTTTTCCTCTTTCCTCTGTGGAATGGGCCAACTTACCGTACACATGCGGATTTAAACGGGTTCAGGAGTGTCAATTTTTTTCTTTAAGCCCTTGTATTTCTCCGTGGTGATCAAATATATATGAAAAGGCAAAAACAATACTTCTTTTTATGCTAAAAATAAAAAAAAATTTAACAATAAACTAATGCATGGTATCTAAAGGGCTAACCGCTAACCATAAAATAAAAGAGTTGAATGGGCCTGACCTACACCGGATTTGGCCATCAAGTAAAACAAATGAACATCATTGGTTTGACATTCTAAAACAAGCTATTTTCTCTAGCATAATATATATTATTATATTATTTTATATTTTAGTGGCTAAAATATAATGTAGTTTAAAGTTATTCAATGGTTCAATCTCGACCAACCCAATTAGTCCAATTTTTATCATTTCAAATATATATTATATAATTATTTGATATCATAATGATAAAATTATAGTGTATTTTATAGGGAATCGTTTGGTATTTGTTAGTAAAAAAACTAAACAGAAAGATCTATTTGGTTATTTTAAACATTAAAACGATCCTAAACATTTTCAGTTTCTTTTGAATTTCTATGGTTTTATTCCCGAATAAGTGATGTGCAAATGGCGAATTGCAGTCATCTATTTTCTTTCACTATTTTTTATTTTCAAATAGAAATTTTAAAAGTAACGAATAATTAGAATTTTGCATGGGTCGGTCAAACAGGCTGAATTTTAAGTTTTGGCCCGTTTTGATCAAGTCTAATTTATAATCACATGGTTCCCTGATACCCGATAAAAATCTCAATCCTAACCAGTTTGGCAGGTGAGTCCGTGTTTACCACCATTCTCTAGGAATACGACAACGGCGGTTCCTATCCCAAATCGTGTTGTTCGTTCTTGATTTCCTTAGATTTTATCATGGCCTGACAAAAACCAGAAAGCATAATGACGACAAGATGAAAGTTTTATAAATCAAATTAATGGTGTTCTCTTTCTGATCTCATGTAATTATATAATGAAGTTGAAGTTTTTCGATGCTATTCAATTTCATTGGTATGTTTTTAATGGTCTAACTTCATGGTTGTACTAACTTTTGATGTACTGTTTATGTTCCAATATATTCACTTTGGTATGATTATTAGGGATATGCTAGGCGGTACTCACCATTAGACCAATTTAGCTTAATGGTTGAATCTACGGGTTATCCCAATAATTCAATATTCCGCTCAGCTCCTCCGACCAACGGGTCGGGTTACAAGCTAGTATTTTTACTATAAGTCGAGGCTACAGCTGGTTGCTCGCAATGGCAACATAGTGGCTCATATGGTGGCTCATATCGGGACTTTATTTCGTTAGTGGTTATGTAGTTCTTGATTGTTTTGTTGAACCGTGGATCTTGTTTTTCACCTCTTTTTAAGAGTGATCTAATAACAAAAAACAAAAAAGACAAAAAAAAAAGTCGAGGCTACCTAACTTTGTTGAACCATTTTTTCATTAATTATTAAATTTATAGAACCAAGAACTGAACCGTATTATATCTGATTCGGTGTGATTTAGTTCAGATATTGATTTGGTTCAGTGTGGTCCGTAACCGTACTGACCAAACTGCTGCACACCCCTATCGGAGAATAAAATTATGTGTGAAGAGAAAATAGAGAAAGATTCACCGACAGTGATGGAGCTAATCAATTAGTCTCTAAAATAATTGGTAAGGCTCAGACCAAGGTTCTCAAACCGAAAGTCATCAAGCCGGATGGTTCTGTTTTTAACATAATATGTAAGAAAACCTCTAGCTAGTACCATTGAATATGCATATATTTAATATATTTTTAATACAATCTCGCTAATCTACACATTCATGTATTATCAAATTATTTTTTTAAAATAAATATATGTTACAAAATTGTTAATTGATATGGGAAATACCTTAATAGTTTAGCCTCTCTTCATCATTCGTATTTTATCTGATTAAACACAATTTTTACTTTTTTTCAAAAACGTCCAACTGAAATGTATTCCAACCATTTAGAAGACTGATTTCAATCAGATCCAGTTGAACTTATGGCCCCTTATCTTTCAAATAGACTCACGTTTCTGGGGGGTAAAATACCTCGCGTACCACTTAACTTTAAGAATTGGGGTAGAGATACCACTTATGTTGGTATAGGGCGTCGGGTACCATTAAAGTCAACAAAATGTGGACTCGTCTACTTTTCCATCCAACCCAAACTTTTAATTACTCGTGGTTACCCAAAAATTTTAAAAACATTTTTTTATGAATAATTTTAAAAATATTCAAAACTATATTTCAACAAGTTTTATCTAATATAAAAATTAGAAAACCTTCTAAACATATTATTACTAAAATGGCTAATCAAATTTTTTCATGAAATAGATAAATTAGTAAAAATATTAAACGAAGATTAAGAAAAATAATAAGTACACTAGAATATAATAATAAATATTTAAAATTAATATTAGAATATCTATTTAAACACCTTAATTCAATTAGAAGCATCATTAGAAATAGTTAAAATAGAACCTAATCGATCATCAATACATCAAAACCAAAGAAAGATAAATGGAACACAAGCATAAGAAATAAAACATATTCCAATAATTGAAAAACATTTAGAACGAAAAGAGACGGAAAGTAACCAAGTAATAAATGAACTATAAAAGCTACCACATTCCGTAAAAAGTGTAGAAAAAAATATGATTATAGGAAGTTAATTAGAATTACTAAATTTAACTAATATGAAACATCTACAATATAATATTAGAGAACTAAAAGGAAATTTAACATTGAAAATTAGACAACATCACCATGATGTAAGATAACTAAATATAACATTCTCATATTATTTATATCGAGATAGAATTCATAAGATATATTTGCTTCAGAGAATTATTCAATTACAAGAACACATAATGATAATTGAAAATAATTGATTCTAAATTTTATATTGAAAAATTAATTTGTTATCAAATATTCAAAAGAGGATTCCAATTAAACAATAAAAAACTATATTTTCCATAAGTCCAAATGGTTTTTTTACAATAAGAAAAGTAGAAGGATCAATTATGAAATTTAGAAAATAGAATATTCTATCAACTTTAACCCAATACACATAGCAGTAAACTCAAGTGGTACCGGGTGCACATATAATAGAGTTTAGTGGTACCTGACGCCCTATTCAAATTTAAGTGGTATGTCTACTCCAATTCTCAAACGTAAGTGGTACCCGAGATATTTTACCCTATTTCTGGGCATAAAGCAACGAGGTCCACTAATTTTGTTTTTGGTTCTTGTTCCTATCTCTATGAAATATCAGGATAGAGTCAACAAGATCGAAAACAATATAAGAAGTCAACCATTCTCTTTGACCGAATCAAAACCAGTCGTACTCTGGCTAAGTCCTCAGTCCTCACTCACCCTCCCTCCCCACCCACAGCACCAATCCCATTCCCATCGCCAGCCGCCCAACGACTAAAAAATTTTGCAACCAAAAAACAATAATATCAAATAAAATTATACTCACGTGCAGAACCTATTTTGATGTATTTATTTTCTACCCGTTAATTACTGTTTAATATGATAAATTTAATTAGCAATCACATGGTCTCGTCAATTATATATTGTAAATGTAATTCCTTGAAATTTTTTTCTAATTTAGAAGGCAAATAAGATGGTGCAATAAAGTATGTTTGTCTCACGATGAGATATGAGTCTTATTATAAATAAAATTTTAAAGATCTGCTTGATAACGTACTGTAAAAATGTGCAAATTGGATGAACATTACTCATAGGGTCCAGAGTTGGAGAGCAAAGTTATTGAGCTTTGCGGGGAAGGTTGAGCTTATAAGTTCAGTGTTGTCGAGTATATTACAGTATTGGATGAACATTTTATTTCTCCTCAAGTTTGTCATTACAGAGGTGGAAAAGATATGTAATAAGTTTTTATGGGATATATCATATACAAGTATGAGAAGAAAGGCCTTGATTGCTTGGAATTACGTTGCTCGTCCTAAGAAGGAAGGAGGCCTTGGTATCCGAAATTTCGTGATATGGAATAAGACATGCGTAACTCGGCGTGTTTGGAATATTCTCCTATCTAGTGGTTCATTATGGGCTGCATGAGTCCTCCATTATCGGGTTAAATAGATGTCATTTTGGGACTTAAAGGTAGGGAGCTGCTGGCTCCTGGATATGGCGGCGTCTGTTGAAGTGTCAAACTGAAATTCAACATAATATGTCAGGTCAGGGTGCTTCTTTGCTTTGGGATGGGGAGC